AATGAATAGTCAAGTAAACATTCAGACTTCATAATGGATCCTGACCACCCATGGACTTGATCAGGTTATCTGGCAAAACAGTGGCCTCCAAAATGCACTCCTGGCATTAGATTAATGTACTTATTAGCAATGTGGTTCCTTTTTCTTCTTTTTTTCATGGAACGTTCCTGGGAATTGCTGTGCTGGAGGAGGAGGCTCAGACCTTGCATAGAAGCTGCTTACCTTTTGCTGACATGGGTAGCATTTAAGTAGCCTTACTATGTGTAGGTTTATCTGTCCAAGTGTTGAAGCAGAGCAATGCCAATGATTTCTTGCCCCTCAGCCTACCAGGATGCCTGTGTGGCCCAGCTTGGAACAGCATGTTGGTAAGGCAAGAATAATATTTATTTATTTATTTATTTAGAAAATTTCTATGCCGCCCTATTCGCCAAAGCCTCGGGGCGGCTCACAAAACATTAAAATATAATACATTAAAAATATAAAATGAATTACAATATAAAATAAGTCGCCCTGGCCAAAGAATAAAATAAGGAAATAACATTAGCAATTAAAATGATGTTTGAATAAAAAGGTCTTTGCCTGGCGCTGAGAAACAAATAATGACGGCGCCAGGCGGACCTCTCTGGGGAGCGCATTCCATAGATTGGGCGCCACCGCAGAGAAAGCCCTCCTCCGAGTACCTACCCTCCTAAATCCTTGTCTGAGATTTTTCCTTTTCCTTTTCTCACCCTGCCATGGAAAGGAGGCTGCTGTGCACAATTTCTTCCAAATAGTCCCCAGGTTTCTTTCCTTCTTTGTTTAATTTGGTGGCACTTTGACTGATGCAATGTCCTGGAATAATGCCAGGTGTGGGGTATTAAATGGTGGACAGGCTGCAGCTATGCATATTGTATGTCCATATTTCATCCCATATTTATATATTATAAATACATTAGCTATTTCATAAAATCTTTAATTTCCTCCAGCAAATTCAAAACAGAACCAATCAAACCAGCACTGCCAGCTTCATTCTTCTTGGATATGGTGATCATCCAGAGCTGCAGACTCTTCTCTTCCTGGTTTTCCTTACAATCTATATAATCACCATGGTGGGAAATCTCCTCATTATAGTGCTAGTTGTGGCTGATCTTCATCTCCACATCCCCATGTACTACTTTCTAGGGAGCTTGTCCTGCTTGGAGATCTGCTACACAACAACTATCCTACCCAGGATGCTCTTCAGTCTTTTAACAGGTGGTAGATCAATTTCTGTTAGCTGCTGCATCCTGCAATACTTTTTCTTTGGCTCCTTGGTATCTACGGAATGTTATCTCCTGGCTGTAATGTCATATGATCGATATTTAGCCATATGCAAACCACTGCATTATTCATCTTTCATGAACAGCTAGCTCTGCTTCTGCCTTATCATTGGCTCCTGGATAAGTGGTTTAATAAGTAACACCATCATAACATCTCTAGTGTTGCAGCTATCATTTTGTGGGCCAAATGAAATTGAGAATTTCTTTTGTGATTTAGACCCAGTGGTAAAGCTTTCCTGCAGCAACACCCACAGGGTGGAAATGGTGACTTTCATCCTCGCTGCCATGGATACAATATTTCCCTTTTTCCTTATTACTATTTCATATGTTTGCATTATCATCAATATCCTTCAGATCCGATCAAAAGCCATGAGGCAGAAGGCCTTCTCCACATGCTCCTCTCATCTCATTGTAGTGACACTTTTCTTTGGGTCTTTGATCAGCGTTTACCTGATTCCCCAAATCAACTCACTGAAGCAGCTTCATCAGGTCTTCTCACTTTTTTATACTGTCTTAACTCCCATGGTCAATCCTCTTATATACAGCCTAAGAAACAGAGAGGTGAAAGAGGCCCTGTATAGGACTGTCAGTAAAGCTGCCAATATGGCTCAATATCTTTAGGTCTTGGACATATTGTCTGGCTTCTTGCATATATTTTAACTAACATGGAAGTAAGGAGCTACATAAAGCTACCTATGCATGACACTTTAATATTCTTTACTTTGGATCATGTAAATCCTGTATATTTTTCATGAAGCAGAATTGGGATCAGCTAAGTTGATAATCAAGTTAATAAAATTCTGATACAGGTAGAAAAGAGAAAGTCAGCCAAGAGTTGCGCAATCTTGGCATTGCATCTAGATCAGATTAGGAAAGATAAGACAGGACAGGCAAAGCCCCAGCTGGATAAGATTATGGAGATCTATGAATGGATTCCCCAAGGCCTTAGATTTCTGCAAGTAGCAGCTGCCGGGAACTGCAGCCAAAATGTGAAAATTGAGACAGTGCTAAGAGAAATGGATGACAACTTATTTTTCTTTTTAATTTTGTTCATACTGTTCTCCAACAATATGCTCTAATTCAAACAAAATTTCCTGAATTTAGAATACTAGATACCAAGATGAAGAGCTCTAGTCTGGCCTTTTTCCCTGGTGTATTTTTGTTTTTTTTTCTTACATAGACTTCTGTATCCATTTAGAAAAGTGGAAACAGGCACCTCCAACCCCAACATCAGAGGAATACTGGTTGAAATTGTACTTATGGGTGGTTCATCACGGCAAAGGCTCTTCTTGACCCAAAATTCTTGTGGTTTCATCTTCAAGGAACCCAACAAGGAGGCAAGGATTCTGGGGTTTAGAATGTTTACTAGAGATGAAACCCTCAAAAAAATGACTAGAAGGGTATATACTATAGAGGCATGGGCGTCAAGCTGAGATGTGAAGATACTAGTCATACTCTACCAAAATTTATGACTTTGGTGTCTATGTATGGGCCACCAGAGATGAACATTTCGGCACCTCCTATATTAATTAGGCATTTATAGAAAGTTAAGTCAAAGACTTAAAGTTGGCAAGAGATACAGTGGATGTTCAGGGTGTGAGGAATGGAAGCTTAATCCATGCAAAGCTGTTTTAAATCCCATATGTACTATTTCTATAGATTTAAAATTGAGGCTCTTCCAATAACCAAAAACCAGAATGATTTGTTAAAAAGCTCCTCCAGAGGCCGGTGATATAACAACAGTGTTGCATCATTGAGACATATGGTATGGAAATATCTTGAGGCATTTTTTCTGCCAACAAAGGCTCGCTCTCGAAAATACTGGTCTTTGTGAAAGTCTGTGTGGTGTTGCATCATATTCCTGTGACATGAGGATTAAGAGAAGGACAGTGAAGGTGGAGAGTGAGTTTGCAGAAAGAATTTATATTGCAGAAAGGCTTTCAAATTGCCAAGAATATTGTGTTGACTACATTTGAATGTATACCATACATATGTACATTTTGCCTGATGCTTATTTATGTGGATCGATGGTCTGCTTGTATGAACAGAAACATCAAATCTCTCTCTCTCTGGTGGTGTAGTGAATATTTATGCTTCATTGACAGGTTTCTTCTGGTGATACTGTTTTTCCCATGTTTGTATTGTTATACTTGATTTTTTAAATTATTTTGAAGTAGCAGTATTCAGCTTGAATCAGAACCATGGTAAAGGGGTTATCTGCCCTCTCCTAGTCCAGATCAAAATTTAACATATGCACACAAGCTCCTGCAAGGGGCTTTTATCAGCAAATTAAAGCCACACATCCCTGGACTAATTTTCCCTGAAGAAATGGCAAGTATATGCAAACATGGATTCAAGGTTTGCCATGTTTACTTCTCTTTGGAAGACAGAGATAAGTGTGTTGTGCTGCATTTCAGCACTGACTTGGGAGTCAGGGGCAATTTTTCTTCATTAGATCTTTCCTGGCAAACCAGGAAGATTAGATCTCTCTGCACATGACTTCTCTCCAGTGAATGAACATAGTTTAGTTGTATTTCACTTCTTGCACTTTGTGGCTTGCCTCACAACTTAAGTTACCTTGCATCAGTTGCTTTTAGCTCAATTGAGCCTGGATTGGGTTGCCCTTCCTTATTCCCACCATTGAAAGGCAGCAGTATTTTAGTCCCCTGATGTCAGAGACCTCCAGTTCTGGGTGTTCCTTAGCTTGCATGAAGGCAGGCAGCTCATGGGAAGGGATGGGCAAAAGGATAATCTTGGCTTAATCCTGTAGCCAATTTTCACTGATATCGCTGGGGATGTGACCAGTCAGCCCAGGGTTAATGCTGGTCAGCTCCATGTGTTTCACACACACATACACACACACTTCCTGTGCTCTGATAGGTTTGCCTCATCTGTCAGTTATGGAAATGGCCTAGATGGAATCCATACTGGAAACATGCTCACTTTAAGTGGAGCACTGGGGATCATCAAAATAATGACGACAACAACAACAGCAGCAAATCAGTAGTCCTACGTCTTGCTAAGAGGGCTCTTTCTGACTTTGACACATGCTCTAAACTCTGATACATTTGCACATTAATAAAATCAGCACGCATTTAAAACTCCTCCCTAGGAAAGGTCTTCCATTTTTCCTGCTCCAGAGAGTTGTTCAGATTTATTTATTCCCTGCTCTCTAGCAGTGAAGGCTCCCACGTGGGTTACAAAGCAAAAAAGAAAACATCTCTGCTCTCAGGCTTAAAATCTAAAAAGGCACATGATATGGACAGAAAAAGGGGTGAGAAAGATAATAGAAAAGTAAAATATTCAGGGGCCAACTAATGCAGATTCTCTCCCCCCTCTCTGGTTTCTTGGAGAATTAATCCTGCAAAATAGGAAAAAAATTACTCAGCTCGAGTTTTCATTGACTGCATATCTCAGGAAAACCATATCCAGCATGTCTTAGTGTTCCCCCCTCAGCAGAACTGTGATCTCTGCATTTGCAGAAGCTCTTGAATAGTGAGTCCGGTATTGGGACTTGTTGTTTGAAGCTGGGAATAGAATCGATAAAGCAAATGCTGAAGGAATCACATTACTTCCCGGCATGAGGCTTTCCATTCGGTGTCATCTGATTTCAGGCACCATAGAATGCCTGGCACATCATGTACTGCGGTATCTGCTCATTGGCTGGAGGTGGGGAAAAGGAAAAAGCAGACCAGGCACAAATGCACTGCCTGACAGCCACTGTCAATCAAGAAATATAAATCTCAGATTAGCTGAACTCTTATTTGGGTGTGAGTTCTCTGAAGTGCTCATAAAGAAACGAGGGGGAGAAGATGGAGAACAATGTGGCAGAAAAGGTAAGTTCTATCTTTGGCAATGCATCTTCCTCTCTGCAGCTCCCCAGGACTAAAATCAGATCAGTGTACTTCTCAAATCTAATAGCACAGTAAGGCAGACTCATCCATGGTCTTGTCTCAGTTTTCTTTGCTCCTGCTGCAACATGGCAAAGCAGAGCTATGAAGTGTAATGTCTCCCAAGTAAGGGGCCATGCCTCTGTGATCTTCAAAGCTGAGGATCATCGGAAGCAAAACAAATTAAGATAGTGATCTTCTTGTCTGGAGGCCCTGCTATCCTGCTTTCTATGGTGTGACAGCATATTTCTTCTGTATCTGTTTGTGTGGGTCCATTGGCAGGGAAGAGTCAGAGTGCGAATTTCGAATGATCTCTCGGAGGGTGAAAAAAGAGCTACTGCCACCAGGAAAGAAGAAGTGAAGAAAGGCCTTGACAAACTTGGGATTCCGTGTGATGTGGTAGGATTCCATTTTTGGTGTCTGCTTCAGAGGGCTCCAAGGGAATACCTTTTCAAAAAACAAAACAGAACAAAACAAAGCAAAACAAAACAAAATGACCACCCCCACCCCCAAAAGCACTGAAGTCTGTATCTTACCACAAATGAACTCTGTCTAATTAGTGGGGTGGGAAGGGCTGGGCAGGACAGAGCCATAGCACTTCAATGTATTTATTGAATGGAGCTGGTCTTTACTGCAATAAAGTTTTTACCTATCTATGTATCTAGCACTTGGGCTTGGCATGCAACAGATCTGAGGTTCAGTGCTTGGCATCAGCAGGCAGAGCTGGGAAAGAAGCCTGCCTAAGCAGTACTGAGCTGGACAGGCTAATGAATTTCTGCAGTAGAAAGCAAGCACTAGACCAGTATTGCAATCCAAAATATTTGAAACAGCTCTTCAGTTAAAAGTTACGAAATGTTTTGAAATGTTCAGGCATGAATATAATTAAAGTATTTTTAAAAATCAGACTTTGCCCTCCAAAATCCAGTTTGCCTTTTAAATTTTGGATATAACATTGTCAGTGTGCAATGAAGAATAAAGAATTCAATTTTGAATGTGTGTGTCTGGCAGAACATAAAGCGGGGTGGGGGGGGGTGCTCAAGGAGGCCTGGAAAGCCCTGGCCTGCTCTGGTCCTGCAGCACCAGCACCCACGCTGGGCTGCTATGGCTGCATTGAGAACCATCTCTCTCCATCTTCTTGCCCCACTAGTCCTGCTAGCACAAGCAAGAACCCTGGGCAGCAGGTGGCTGATCAAGCTAGTCCAAGCAGGAACTATCCCACCCTATCCCAGCCACCTTGATGGCCCTACCTGCTTGCCAAGAGGTAAGGCAGCTGGACAGTTTTCTCAGTTGATCTCACTGTATGTTACAGAAGACATTGCATGCCAGTCATCAAATAACCCTTGACTTTGTCAGCTGTCCAAAAATCCAGTACTGAATCAAGTATAATCAAGGGACCAAAGGAAATGCCAGAAGATACCTGCAGACTTATTCCCTTTTGTCTGTCTCCTTCCACTAGGACAACATCCCCAATATTGCTGTCCTGGCCTCAGGTGGAGCATTGCGGGCCATGGTGGCTCTCTGTGGCACATTAGTGGAGCTGAGGAAATACAATCTCTTGGACTGTATTATGTACTTAGGTGGGGTGTCTGGTTCCACTTGGTAAGTGCATGAGGGTAAAGATAAGGGGAGATGGAAGAGATGGAAGGCTTGAGGATGTTCTCTGTGAAGAAAGGTTACAACCTCTGGGACTGATCACTATTAATTAATTTAAAACTTTTGTATACTGTCCCATCACAGATGCCTTGGGATGGTTCGCAACAACTACAATATAATAAAAAATAAAAGTAAAGGTAGCACAGCATTCAATCTTAAATGGAAAACCACAGATTAAAACATATTGGCAATTATAATAGTGGGAGAATAAAAAGATGTTCTCCTGGCACCGGAGGAAAGAAGTATTGGCACCAGACAAATCTCTCTGGGGAGGTGTTTCCTTAGGAGACACACACACTCAAAGGAGCAAAGACAGAGGTATAAAATTATGGAGAATATGGCCAAGGAAACGTTTTTTCATTTCTCAGAATGCTAGAAGTCTGTATCATCCCATGAAGATGACTGGGGGGAAATTGAGGACAGATAAATGGAAATATTTGTAATTAAACCAGTATTCATTTCCACAAGATGGAGTGATGGGCACAAATTTGGATGGCTTTAAGAGTCGCCCCGAGGCTTTGTTGCGATGGGGGCAGCATAAAAATGTTTTAAATCAATAAATTAAATAAGAAGGTATTGGGCAAGTTCCTGGAGGAGAAGGCTACCAATGGCTACTAGCCCTGATGGCTATATGCTACCTCCAGTATCAGAGGCAGCACGCCTGTGTGATCCAGTTGGTGGAGAACCAGTATGGGAGGGTTGCAGTCTTCTTGTGGGTTCCTCTTGGGAAGCTGATTGGCCACTCTGTGAGCAGAAGGTTGGATCTGATGGGCCATGGCTCTGATCCAGCATAGCTTTTAATTCTTAAATGTTTAATAAGATGATAGGATGCAGTGCCAGATGCAGTCTCAATATTCTGCTTCCTGTAACAACTAGTGAAAGTTTCCTGGAAAATGGAAACAGATGATCAGGAAGGCCATGGCTTTTCTTTGTTCTTTTCCTCAGTGCTTGGCAGTCAGAGGCTCTCTGCAGTGGCTCCATTCATCTGTCATGACTGCATTAAGTACTCCTGTCTTAGGGGTGGGAAATCTGCAAAATGACACACTGATGTGACATAGTGTAGTCATTCTTCAATTATGTTTAGATATATAATTTGGGGTGATAGGGGTCTAATCCTTTGCAGTAACATATCCGCAATAATTGTGTTTGTTTTTAGCTCAAATTGATACACTTTTTAGGAACAGCTAGGCCTAAAGGGATTTTTTTACAGGTTTTGTATCAAATTTCTGTGAACTATGTTTGTGGATTGCTGGCAGGCTTCTCCAACTTGGTGCCTTCTCAAAGTTTTGGACTGCACCTTCTGTTATCCCTGACCATTGGCCATGGTGGCTGTAAGCAATGGAGTTTTCATCCAAAACAGATGGAGATAGAATATGTTTAATCTTGGTTGAAATGCTTAGCTGAATTTTGTAGCTCTAATAACACAGAACAGCCATCTAATGAGTTAACAGGCAATCATTCATTCAATACTTCAATAGTGATTTTAGGGCACAGGATAGAATTACAGGCCCAAAGACACAATTTGGCCTACCTGGAATCACAATCTAACTCTTTGGCGGGGTCCTTAGATCACCCTGCCCACTTCCACTGGTCCTGTCCCTTTCCCTCTGACCAACAGTTGTTGCTTGGTTGCCTGGGTCTTGTGCTTTGTCTTCCATTCTGGAAGTTGAAATGCCTCTCCCGAGGCTTAATTACTGGTCCCAAGAGCTTTTAAACTAAAACATGCAGATAATTTTGGCCCTCCCCTTCTGCTTTTGGCTGTGCAATCACTGCAGTGCAGCCCTAGAGTTCCTCTGAAGTTCCTTGGGCTGAAAGCATTTCAGCATCTGTGCTGTAGTAGTCAGCTCTCTGGTGAAACATGTATGTTAAAGGCCATATGTTGCCTGCTTTAGAAGCAAAAGGTTATTTGATAAAAGTTAAATAATCCCTGATGTTCTGGAAAATCAAGCTGCAGCTAAAGATGGCTTAAGAACCTTATTCCACATTTTTCATTTACCAGTTTCCAAGCACCCTCAAAATGTGTACATTTCAAATTAGGATGCAATCTATTATATTTTTGTAATGTCTCAAGTGTATTTGTTCTTTTTCATGAAAAGGTGTATGTCAGGCCTCTACAAAAATAAAGACTGGGTAGAAAAAATAGAGGAATTGGAAAAATGTCTACATGAAACCCTCACCCAGGGCAAGTGGGAAACAAAGAAGGCAATTGAATCTGTTCTGGAGGCAGCAGAAGATGAATGTTACTCTCTGACAGATATCTGGTCGTATTTCATAGTACATAGACTTTTAAACCAGGTTGGTGGAGCATACAATTAAAATATCTGTATCTCTCTAAGGTTCTATTATTCCAATTTCTCAGAGGCATCACAGCCGTTAAGACATTTATCCATGCAACCAAAGCTCTGGGATGAGTTGTTGTTTACCTTGTTTGTTGTTGTTCTTGTTGTTGCTTACACGCCTTCATTAAAATAGGTTAGAGCTGCCTGGAGGCCTCATGAGTATGAAAGGCCACAAGTTGGGCATTCATGAGCAAAGGCACTGCTTTTGGGAGGCTAAGGTGAGAGTTCTCCTTGGAAAGAGGAGAACTCTCCTTGGTAGATCAGAAACAGATCAAATGTACATTAAAGAACTTCTGTAAAGCCTGAAGTGCTTGAGCCTTCCTAATCTCGGATGCTAAGCAGGGTCAAGTCTGGACAGTTTGGATGGGAAACCCAAGTCCTGCACTGAACAGGGGGTTGGACCTGATGAACTTCAAGGCCCCTTCCAAGTGTATGAGTCTATGCTTCTAATATAATTTACATAAAACTCCATGTCTTTTCAGTTTGATGAGACTACATTGTCTGTCCACGGGGCATCCTGTGAGAATGGGAAAAATCCTTACCCTATCTATGCAGCTGTGGAAGCGGAAACATACCAGAAACCTCATGCAGGTAATTATGTCAGTGTTGGATGTTCCCAGTGAGTGGAGACCCACAGCAGCAACTCAGTGGGCAATGCATCCATTCCCGGTTGTAGCCTGAAGATTTAAGGAGCTGTCCCCGATTCCTAACCCATTTTAGGGTAGGTCCAGCACCATGGATTTTGTCTTTAAAGTTCAGGCTAAAACGCTCATGACACAGGAGACCCAAGACTGCGCTGAAGACTTGTCCGCTGCCCAGACAATAGGTACATATTGCTAAAACATGTGCATTTGCGTACTATATTACAAACTTGGAAATGAATTGGTTTCTGGCTACCAATGGCATTCAGATCAGCATTCAGTTCTGAAGTGACATAAAATGTGAACCTGACAAATGACTCACCTATCCACCCTAAGGAATTTTATTCCTATTACTGAAATTCCTTTTAAATCCTAACAGATGTTTCTGCTGTAGGAAGAAGAGAGGATCTGCTGACAGCTTTATTCATTTATCTCCTGATCATGCAGTTCTCATTACTGAAGGCTGTGATCTTGCATATGACATCTTTATCTTTGCTTGTGTTTTTCAGGTACCTGGTTGGAATTTACTCCGCATGAAGCTGGATTTCCTGGCATAGGAGCATATGTAGACATCAAATACTTTGGGAGTGTATTTCACAATGGGCAAATGATTGAAGAAAGAAAGGAGAAAAATGCCTGCTATCTGCAAGGTATGTCATGGTCACATGCATTTTTTCTTGAATACATTATTCTCAAAATGCCCAAATCTGAGCAAAGTAGCATAATCTGTGCTTCTGTGGTCCACAGCAATAGGAACACAGAGTTGAGAATATAGTACTCAGAAGCAATGCAAAAATGTATAGATCCAACAAATTATAAAAAACAACCCAACCACTGTTCTGGGGCCCAGCTGGGAGTATCTCCTTAGGCAGAATGCCCTGGATCTAATGACCAAAAGGAAATCTTTTGCCCAAGGAGGGGATGTGGTAAATGGGGTTGCCTTCCCTTGCTCTGTATCAATAGGGAGGCTATGGTATACTCAAATGAAATAACCTGACCTTCTGCTGGCACTGATGAAACATGAAACTTGTTACTGCCATCATGCGTCTCATTTTTTATTTTCAGGTTTATGGGGAAGTGCCCTTGGAAGCAAGGAAGAAGCTCAAAAGAAAATAGTTGGTATTGCCCTTTCTATGGCATAGCAGGCAGGATCAGGGAACATGAGATTGTGTGGGCAAGAAACATTCCAGGAACAAGGCTGTTTCAGATTGCCTGGTTGGGTACTTGAAACCAACCTTTCAAGAGATCCCTGAGCAATCTGAAGGGGCTTCTGGGAAGATAGAAAGATTTCTTGATAACCAGCATGGACCTTGTGTATGTGCAAATCTTTGTGCACTCAGCTTAGAGCTGAGCACCTTTCTGGTGGAAGGGCAGTCTTGATTCTAGGCATATCCTTCTTTGCTCTGTATGATTGAAGATGTTCAATGACATAAGGAATTTCAATTTCATTGAAATTTCAAAAGTTTACGTAACCATCCTATGCCTTTGCCACAAATACATTCAAACAAACAAGGGCAAACCTTCAGCTGAGGGTCATAGAAACAATTGTTCTGAAGCATCTCCATGCAGGCCCATGGAGATGTTGGTTGGTTTCCACCAGCAGCACCTACATACATTCAGCTTTGACTGCTATCAAAGTAGAGAACACCATTTGCTGACCAGCTGGGATGCAAACCCTTATGTGTTATGAAGGCTGGAGTACCATTATGGTTAAGAGAAGAGGTCCATATTGAGAAGCCCCTAATTCAAACCACATAGATATGAACTGACTGTGGGGCTGAAGCATCAATGGTGGGGAAACTTTTTCCTATGAAGAGCTGTTGATCATAGAAAAAGCAGCTAATGATGGAGGGAGCAAAAAGTGGCTCTTCTGTATGTGCCACCCAATCCCTTCTCTGCTTCTCTATCTCTCATGCAGCATGCACGAAATGGAAGAGAAAGCACTTCTCAGAGGTACATTTGGAGATTGAGAGTAAGTTTGCTGTTTCTGCAGAGCAGATTTACTCTGAAGGCTACATGAATTTAGGCCAAGGGCTGTGGCAATTGTTTAAGGGAACTGTTGCTAAAGAAGAATAGCTGTCTGTGACCCTCATCTGAAGGTTTACCCTTATTTGTTTGAATGTATTTGTGGCAAAGTTATAGGGTGGTTTAAATAGAAATAATAGAGCACATTCCTATGTCTTAAAAGTACTTGGTGTAATATTAGAATGTATTGTTCAATTGTTAAGTGATCAGAAGTTGGAAGGGTGCCCAGGTGGATGGAGAGTGACTAGGAATTGTGCGGTTGTCATAATGGGGTGACATAATATGACAAAACAGAAAAGGGAAATTCAACATTTGAATGATTTATTGGCTGGCACCTTGGTGGTTGTTCTTGTTGATGCTGTTATTTTAGTCATTTGGGTGTTGCTAGCTATATTGTTATGTTGTTTTTCAAAAAGTATACCCTGGTGTATATTATCGTTATCTTCTCTGTCTTTGTTATCTTTGAGATGTTCTAGAGAATATTCTGGAAGAGACCACTTCTAATGACTTGGGTAAGAAGTTACAAACTATTTCAACATTTACTCCTCCACACTACATTTCTTTCCACATCTCTGTGATGAACCAACCATCCCAAAAAAGCTGAAAGAGCAAGAGTGAGAGCGAGGGGAGGGGGGGAGAATAATTTAGAATAAATTTAATCAGAACTACTACATATTGTTCAGAGGACAGGTATCCCTGTTCCACAAATGTATCAGCATTAAAATAAATGAATGCACTCTTAATTTGGAAGTGCACTGAATAAAATATGCCTTCAGCAATAGAAATTGGTCTTGGCAGTTAGTCAACTAAGAGCACAATCTGAACAGGCTGCCATTCTGCAGACAGAGAGATCTAAGACTGGACATTCCCACCCATTCAAAGGCCTTCTGGGAATAGCATTTGCTGTGGCTTCTGCTGGATGGGTTGCTGAGCCCATCCAGCAGAATTAGGTTGCAGTCGTATACACAATCCTATTTGTGAGTAAGCCCTAGTGAAACAAATGCAATTTATTTCTGAGAAGACATGAATAGGAATGCCCTGTTAATCTCAGGTTCTTTATTGCTTCATCTTTACCCAAAACTGCTCTTCCTTTCTTGCCTGCAAAGCCTTCTTTTTAATCCTGCTAAAGTCATCATGATTTTTCACCTTTTATGAAGACCATGATTCCAGCAAAAGCTCTGAATTGCTCAGAGAGATGCTTGAGACCTGGAATTCTGCAGATGAAGAAACAAGACAGGAGGAGTATATGAGATTGAACCAAGCTTTGGACACAGATATTGGAAGCAAGTATCATAGTGAGCATGTCGCTTTTTGAGCAGCATTTCTGCATGAAGATACCTGAAATTGTTGGGCCTCAGACATTCATTTTCCTATCAATAAGTGATAATGATTAGTAAGATTTGCATTTGAGAGTCTTCTAGATGGCCCAAAGTGGTCAGACTTTGTGATAACCACCTCAGTGGTTCAAGAATAATTTTTAAGAGATACATATGTTCACTCTATTTATAAGATGTTCCTTAGTGGTGTATTTCATTGAAACAATATCTTGGTCTGGAGGCTGCCTGCTGTGTTCCCCCAGAATTCTCCCAATGTCAGGAGAATGTCTCCCAGAATTTTATCTGGGGCATTGGGGGAAATTTACATGATAGACAGTTAACTGCTGCCTTGCACAGATGAAGGTGCTGCTGCTGCCCCCAACAACTGGCAAGCCCATGTGATATAAAACAGTTCCCTCCAGAGCAGGGTGCTCCACAAACCTGGGCCCAGCACAAATGCTGCAATGTCTTTCAGAAAAGTAAAATAGAATGGCACATCATTCTGCATACACCTTTATTTTAAGCTTACTGTGCTTGAAATGCAACCTCAGAGATCTCAGAGTTAGAAATCCTTGCCTTTTAGGGGTGGGTAGGCAGTGTGAATTTCAAATTATCTTGCATGAAATTGTTCTTAGCTCTGCATTTCTTTTACTTCAGGATCAGACAGTCCTGCTCTCCACAATTTCTCAAACATGATAAAAAAGACATGTTTATGCCTTTTAAACTGGACCTGGGGAAGCACCAAGAATTTCCTCTACCACTGTTGTAAGCTCTTAAGCCTATTGTGTGAAAATAATGCTTCTGCACTTGTATGGATTTATACTCTTGGACTGGAGGTGCATAAGACATGTTTGGTGGATATGGCATTAAAATGCAACCACCACATTGCATTCTTTCCTTTACCGCTATGACATGTATCAGTATCCCATCAGATGGTTATCCCATGATGCAGCTTCATCCCCTTGTGAGTTTCCTCATAATTGCCTGAAGAGCTGGAGAGTTAAAAGTAAGGAACTCACACTCCCCAGTTCTTCAGGCAATTATGAGGAAACTCACAAGGGGTAAAGTCACACTATGGGATAAATGTCCCTACATTCTTACTGGGGGAGAGGGGAGCCATATTTGGTGGCATTCAGTTATACATGGTGCCCTACTCTCCAGGAAGGGATGAGAGTCTTTTGGGATGTAAACTGCAATGAAAAGAGATAGTGTAATTCATAAGACAATATATGGGCAGGGCAGGGAAGTGTTTATATGTATGTGAGCTACTTAGCTATATTTATTCAGAAACTGGCAAGTTCTCTGCCGTTGTGTGTTGTGGAGTCCATTCTTCACTATCAGCAGTCCCTTGCCTCACAATTCCTTGAAAGTAGAATTATCTGGTTATGTTGCAGAGGGTTATCTCCATCTGGTCATTAGCTGCTGCCTGATAATACAGATTCTGGCATGCCTCTCACACAGCATCAAGGACAGAGCAGACAAAAAAGTTACAGCCTAAGAATTCGTCCACTCATTTGTTCCATGCTAGGAACAAGGACATACTGGAATAATGTTTTTTTGTTCGCAGAACATGTGCACATGGTTTGTTCAAAGTCCAAGGAATGACTGTGAGCATGTGTCTGCCAAAAATGTTCACAACTTGTCAAACCAAAGCTCACATTTATCCTGTTCCTGAGTCCATAGGCCCAGGGATTTAGAATTTACACTCCTGTTTCATGTTTGGGCTAGGCTTCTCATCTTTAACAGTCACACCAGCAGGCAGCTACATCATGTTGTTCTCCAAGCTGAAAATAACTGTGCTATATAATTTAGCTAGTGGCCAAGAATTTCATTTCACTACATTTCTTAAAAATACAACTCTACTAACATTAACAATGTTCCTATTTGGGAGGAAAGAAACTGAGATTTTGAAAAAGAAAACAGATCAATCTATTCTTAATCATATGTAGCACTTGTGCATGGACGACTTCGCCTCTGTTTTCTTTATGGCATCACTCCTCCTGCTTGCATGAAATTCTCACTAGAAGCAGATACAGTGGCAGTATTGCAATTGATCCTTAGTAAGTAGCTAGTTTGCATTGGTTCCATTAGCTGTACAGTAACTCTCTGTTTCCCATACTGTTAGCTGATGTTGAATTCCCTGAACTGTCAAGCAAGCCAGTTCTGTACTTCATCGATGCTGGTCTGACTATAAACACTGCTTACCCATCCATTCTGCGCCCTGAAAGGCAGGTGAAGCTGATCCTCTCCTTTGACTTCAGTGCTGGAGATCCTTTTCTGGTAATTGCTTTAGTTTACAGCAGGAGGCATGCAAAGCTTGAGCTCTGACCAAAGGATAACCCTGCCAGATTTCATTAGAACAGTATGGTCATTAGGCAGGTCTCATACTGTCTTGATATCACTTTTGAAATGAAATGGAGGTGCTTCAGAAGGGTGTTACAGCAACATGCTTTTGTGAAAAAAACATGTTGGAGTTTCCTTAGCAGTTTTGCAGCTGCTGCAAAATGACTGTTTTTGTCTCTGAAATGACTCTTTCCCAGAAGCATCATGTCCCACGAGGAAGTTTACTGTGTAGCTTCTCCTCAGTCTAGCATTTTCCCATGGAGGGCCCTGACTTGAGAAACAACTTTCTAAAATGCCTTGGATGTCCGATATCAGTAGAATAATGCAAGAGCGAGTCATGAAACATTGTATTCCATGCTTGGGTCTCCAAATGCAAACTAAGAAGTAGTCTCCCAGCTGCTATATTTCCAAGCAAATCTGGCAGTTAAGGATGAGTCTGAATCTTTCCCCTCTTGGTTCAGACTGTTAGACGTGCTGCTGAGTACTGTGATGCGCATGGAATACCGTTCCCCAAGATAGATGAGGCAGAGCTGCAGGACACGGACAACCCATTGGATTCCTACATCTTCAGAGGGGAACGTGCCCCAACAGTCATGCACTTCCCACTGTTCAACAAAGTCAACTGCCCAGGTGACTTGGGAACGGGGATTACTGAGGGAATGTCTAGTTCTGGGGTCTTCAGCACAGTGTCTAAATGCACATGGAGGCCTAGCCAGGCACCCACAAAAAGGTGCAAGGCTGTGCACTCAGATCGGTCCCCCACATCTAGTTCTTCCACGCACTGGCCTCTTCTTCCCAGACTAGCTGTTTGCTTACAGCCCCTTTATTACAAATTGCACAGCCTTCTTCCCGTTCCAAATGCCAGCAGGAGGACTGAAGAAAGTGATGGTTCCATTACAGGAGAGGAGAGGAGAGACCAGGTAGGCAGGTGGGAAATGGCTAGTGGGGAAAAGGTAAGATGTGGAGATGTGAAGTGAAGTGGGTCATGGGAAGAAAGCACTGTAAGAGATCCAACGGCTACTACCATGAGGGCTTTAGGGACCTTTCAATGCCCTGCTCTGGTTATCAGCAGCGTGCAAGACTTGGGATTCAGAATCTGGATACACTGAATTATGAATGTCCTGGTTCTGAGATTTATGTGCCTTTATTGGACTGTCCTTTCAGAATTAATGCGTGGTGCCTCACCTTCCCCTCATCCAGGGACCCATTCCTTTGATTCCCTCCCTTCCAAGTGAAAAGTGCCTTGTGACAGGTTGACTGAATGAGGGGTACTGAAGGCTGACAGGTGCTTTGCAGCATCTCACTGAGTCACACTCACCTGGATTGCCCACAGCACATTCAGCGGTGTGATTGTATGGTGGAGTTTTTGGAATGTGTGGATTGCTATACCTTCTGATTAGGAATGTACATATGACTGATATGATATGCATTGTTAGGCCTTTTGGTTTGGCCATTGATTCGATGATGGAATCAGATGTGGGTGTGCACACATGCCAGAATTTAGTTTTATATGCACTAAATCTGAATCAGTTGTGAATTTCTTTGACATCTGTACTACTAATTCAGCTCACTCAGTCATAATATCTCTCATTTTCAGGCAAAATTGCTGAATACAGAGAGCAGTTCTCAACCTTCAAGATGCACTATTTAGGTGAAGAGATTGAAAAGCTGCTTACTGCAGCAAAGAAAAATGTATCAAATGTCCAGCAAAAGATTCTGCAGGAGATGAAGCGTATTGCAGGTCCTCCTTCTCAAAAGGCTTAACTAAACCTTTGCAACAGACTTCCTAAAGAGGTCCACCTGGGTCCATCACTACTTTTGTTTTGGCCCAAGCAAAAACTGTTGTCTTTTGAAGATATTTTGAGACCAGAGTTTAACACCTGATTATAGATTTTAACACCTCACTCTGCTCCAGCAGATTTCCCCTACCTATACTTGTAAATGGAATGTTTAATTAATTGTTGTAATTGTTCAATTATAATTGATGAATTAATGAATTTTAATGTGTTAGCCTCTTAGAGAGCCCTGTCAGGCTATTCAACAGCATATAAATTTTAATCATCATCATCATCACATTCTACTCTAATAGCAGACTCATATGATCAGGCCTGTTTTCACCATTGAAGATCCTCCCAATTTGTTGTTGATCATCATCAACACCACCATAAGCACACTAATCAATAAAACAACTAATTAAAACATCATAAATCACAAAGGCCTCAGACTTATGTGTTTCTCCTTCCCTTCTCATTCTCTGATATAACTCTCAGGTTGAAATGATTCCTTCTAGTTTAAACTAATAATGATTTATTTTGGGATCCAGAAAAAGTGAGTGTTTGGGGATATTATTCACTAAGCCCTGAAGGACACCCTCTCCCCCAGTGAGCTCTTATTTGAAACCAGCATGTTTCATGAATGTCTGGATTTGTACCTAAGTACACAGAAGTAGTGCTCATGAGCAGGTGAACTGCTTCTGTTTTATATTGAGTAACAGAGGTTTTCACCTCCACTTTACCCCACTTATTTTTATTATATTTATAGCCACCTTTTTCTGGCCAAGGAAATCAAGGGGGCTTACCTATTCCTCCACTCAGTCTTATCCTCACAACAATTACAACCTTGTGATGCACTTGGCCCGAGAGTCTAAGACTTGCCCAAAGTCTCTGAGTGAGCCTCATGAAGACTAGAAACTAGATCTCTAGGATCCCCAGTCCAGCCTTCCAAATACTACACTGCATTGGCTCTCCTAAAATGGTGAGCTGACAACTTTCCTTCTATAGGGAAAAAGTGGAAGTGGTTCATTTACATGTATGCACATGTGTTGAGCCATTTTTTCTGGGTTTTTGCTGGGGGCTTTATGTCAATTAACTAGAACCAAGGTAAATTTCCCAAGATACTCTGCAGAATTTTATCTGAATATTTTCTCTCTCTTTGGTGTCAGTCACTATTATTCTATCTCTGACAATAATGCCCTGGAAGTATGCCAGGTTCAGAGCATTGTGGAGGATGAAAGAAGGTTCCAAGGCTGCTAAGAAAACATCATACAGCCTTTTGCAGTAGCAGTGTGAAAAATCCAACCTTTCTCTTTCTCTTCTGCACAAAGGACATGCAAAATCTGAGACCTATAGATGTTTTGGCATTACTCTCCATCTGAGGCTTGGCTCCCCTCATATCCTGCTCCCCACAATGACTTAGTCCTATGTTAGGCATGTGCCAGTGCCCACTTGAAGGGCACATGACCAAGGTCACTTCAGTTTGAGTTTCCAGACCTTCTCTGGGGATTTCCCAATTCCTCACCCCTATAGAAATACTTTTGGTTATGAAAGCTTCATTTGCATTTAAATGGCTGGCAAACAATCAAGACTGCATATTTGGATGCTGAGTAGCTTCAGAGTCACTCCAAGCTGCTTTGCTGAGCTCGTCTTCAGGTTCAGAATAAGGCAAGTAACTGTTTATTAATTCCATATAAAACTAACCAATTCTGAACTTCCTTTTGCTTGGGACTTATTTGGAAACTAGAGTTGACTGAGTTTCTTTTTCTAGCCAGAAGCTTACCCACACTCTTGACACATGCATTAACCTGTTTTTAAAGGACATGAAAATAAATTCTGAAAAGGAGTCGAGTCTTCTCTATGGGTAGAAACCAACAATCTGGATCCTTACTTATCTGCAAAATGTACTCTAAGTGGAGTCTTGCAGCCTGCCCTACCTTGCAGGCTTAGAAGAGGAGACTCCTGACTGCCACAAAAAGCAGCAGTAGAAAGGAAATCTTGGGTGACTCTCATCCCTGAGAAGGTGTTGGAGAATTTCTCCTCCACCAGGAGAAAGTAATTTCCCCCCCCCCCACAGATAGGATGGAGAATGCTGAGAGTCCATTTGATCATGTCTCCATAGTTGACCACCCAGCATAGTTTTTCCCTCACCTGCCTCTGCATGTGTAGCAGATATCAGACTGGAAATTATAAGGTGAGTCCACCTATCTATCTATCTATCTATCTACCTACCTACCTACCTAAATTTATAAATGCATATATTTCTTGATGTGTTGTAATATGAATTATCTAGGTAATATGTAATTGTAATATGAAGGTGTCTAGGTATTAAAAAGTCAGTTATTGAGGATGCAGGATTGTCTGTGACAGATCAATCAACTTTGACCCCAGCCTGTATTCAGCTCCTACAATCAGATAAATAACTGATTCTGCTCAATGCAAGCATTCTATAGGTGGCTAATTAAAATGTGAGAACTTTGTTGTTAAGCTCATTGCTGAGGCCCCATCTATATTTTGGGGAGCTTTCTGCATGATATCAAATCCCTGATTTTTCAGAGTTCTGCATCCCTCATTGAGCATCTGAGGACTCAGCATTCTCCCCATTTCAGAGATCTATCCTGAAGGTGGAGGGCAATGGGGATGGAGAAGGCAGAGCTACATGCTTCTCACTTTTGCTTTTCATGCATTAAAGTTAGAGAATGTCTGCATGGGGCTTTCATTATTCCTCTATGAAGTCCACATGCACACCTCCCCTCACCCATCAGACTAGGTCAAATTTTGCAAGCAAACTTTGCATTCTTCATCACCCAGATAGCTTGTGAATGGAGTTAGAAAAAAGACTCCTTGTGGCAATGGATTTTTTTTTTAAGGGAGGAAACATTTTTAATTAAAAAATTAGTACTTCCAAACAAAAACATTTTTTCTGAATAATTCACAGAACCTTAATGAGGAAAAAGAAAAGCAAAATACAAGACAAAAACAAAAATGTAAAAAGGAGTCATAAAGAATTACATTATGGAATATATTAACATTAGTCAGTCAGCAAAGACATGAACAAGTTACATAAACATATTCTTCTACAGGCAATAACAGTGGGGTTCTTTATGTTATCTTCACTGGAGAATCTGATTGCCTTGGCAAGTCCAGTGAATAATTCCTGGTTGTTCAAGTACAGAATGTACAGAAACTGTTCAATAACATGGGTTCATAATATCTGAAGATGAATCTAAGAACCCTGACTAAATGTTAAAGAAATTTCATTCACTGCATAAATTTAAAAGCACTGAATAACAAATCCATTTTCAATGGAGATAAGTACTTTTTTCATCATCTCCTGAATCTGCAGCCATGAACTGTTCTGTTGTCTCTCAGAAGCCATGCTATATTGAACCATGTGAACTGACATTTTATGTGTTGAAGTGACTGATTGAAGTTACTTTGAATCTGGACTGGGAGCTTCATCCCTGGTTTTTGAAAAAAAAAATTATATCCTACAAGGGTGGTCAAAACTCTTTGTGAAGACTGGAAAGTTTACTGGAAAGTTTGCCAGTAATGATATTCAAATGGTGCTGCATAGTTAAGTGACTCTAAGAAGTTTTATTCTATTCTTTAACATTGTACAAAAGTAGAAAACTGTGTATGCCCAGCAGGTCATCTATGTGCTCTGTCCTAGAGGAACAGAAACAGTGCAGCAACTTGCTGTAGTGACAAAGCCCTTTTCAAATTTAAGGGTGCATTTTGCTGCTGTGGCAAACCAGGAGAAATAGCCCTTTTTATTTCTTGCCCCCCACAATGTCTCCTGCTAAGAAAGGATGTTGTGGTTCCTGGGAGCAAAGGGAAAAGAAGCATGCAGAGTATGAGACATAGCAGACATATTGACACAGAGCATAAGGGAAGAGACTCAGTGAGGAATAAACTGGGGGTGATATTTAGAAACTGACTAAGTATTTGGGCTGGTGAGGGCGGCATGGAGGTAATTCTTGCCTGTAAACTCTTCTGGCTCTCTGTAGGAAGCCCATAACTTCCCGAGTTCAGAAGGTTATTGGGAGCCTAAGCCAGGTCACAAGACCTGGTGTTTCTTCTTTCCCAGGAACATTTATCAGATTCATTTTCAACTCAACAAGACACCTTCCTCCGGAATGTAGAACACACTTAAATTTAGTAATTCATCAGAATTGTGGTGTGGTAGTTCGAGATCTCTGTAAGCAGTACTAAGATCTAGATGTTCTCCAGTGATTCTCAGGGCCTCTGGAAGATGTTTTACATCAGCTCTCTGATTGTCTAGCAATGGAAAAGCTTGAACACTGCACCTTCCCGCGCAAAACCAGTGGCTTGGTGACTCATCTGTGGTCCCTCTTCACTCTTGGATGAAAAGCATCCCTCCTTCTGCCTTGCAATTTTTATTTTCTTTCCTAAACTATGATGATCATGCTAGTATTTATTTATTTGTGGTTTAATCAAGTATTATCTATATTGTACACTGCCATGGGATCAGCTTTGATGAAGGGCAGTACAAAGATGCTTTGAAACAAGCATAAAAGATCACCTTTACCTCTCCCCTAAGAGAATAAGCCAGTACTTATTCTCATAAATTTCTCATGTATCCCTCCTCTCAGTTGCTTTATTTGCATTGATGGAAGTATATAGTAACAAACATTGTTTAAAAATACACATTGTGTTACGCTGAAATGCAGTACTATGAAAAATGTTAAGTAAATATAGGAGATATATCTGGATGAAGAAATCTATTTACAGCAATGGCAAATTTTGAATCAGGCCGGAACTCAATTTCTTCCATCAGACAGATACATTAATGTTGTCATTCTTGTATCTAGTTAAACAACCCTTGCCTCCTCATCTGAATTCAAAGGCCAAATTTTGCAAACAAATAGACTCTTCATCATGAAGTCCCCCGAACATCACAAATCTCATGTGAATGAGCTGAACAAAGCTTCCTTGTGGCAGATAATTATTTTGACATGCTTTTAAATAAGGATCTCTACTTGGAAACAAAGAAACATTAAATGCATTTGATACTTAATAGGACGAAGGAATTTTAAAAAAATCATATTGCTGTCCTGAGACTTCGATAATGGGACAGTCTAGAAAAGTTTTAAACAAACAAATATTAAGCTCAATGAATGAACATTTCACATACTATTTCTACAAACAGATTATTATTATTATTAGGATACATTATTTTAGTATTATAAGAAAATAATCAGGATAATAGTATAATTTTGCTGAAGATGTGCATGACTTTACATTTCCTTCCACTGAACTGTATTTATGATTTTTTGCCCATTCACACAATTTGGAGATATGCTTTTGAAGTTCTTCAGAGTCCATTCTTGTTGGTTTTTCCCATTTGTTGTCACCACAATCTAGGCTACTTCAGTGCTCACCCTGAACTCCAAATCATAATCAAGATAACGAACATTGGGCAGAACTAGGGATCTCAGGGAACTCTGCAATGGATTGGACTGAAATTGGATTTCTATGACTATGACCTGTGGATTTCACAATGGACTGGCTTTTTCCAAGTTTCCATTGACTTGAAAAACAATTTCTGTTCCCATGCATGGGGGATTTGTGCTAATTTGCATTAACGTAGTTAGTTGTACTTGTACCAATGTTTGCTTGCTCTGATGCACATTAGCACAAGTGGTAAAAGCTGATCAAAAGCAAACTGATCCTTATGCTCACCACATTAATATCCTGGAATTGACAAATCTGTCAGTTCTGCTTTCTCCTGGAGATCTTTTTCTCTTGAATATGAAGAAATTTGTGAATTTTGGTAATTTTTTAAAAATCAAAAATTAACTGAAATGAATGTTGTAACCCCCCCCCCCCCCCATAATCGAAACATGCAGCCAGGGCATGGCTCGTCACGGGTAAAAAGCATGATCAGGGTGTCCTGTGCACGTAAGAACAAGAACCCCCAATGAATGTGCATGCTACGCAAGGATGAAAACAAAGCAGGCTACGCTCAAGCATAACCGCACATGTCACGCCCTTGTACCCTCGCTTGCTTGCTTCAGCATGAAAAATGTGCAAATGTAGCTCAGTGGGGTTCCCCTATTGTTCGCTGTTATTCAAGCACCTGCATAGTTGTAAAAGAGTATAAAAAAGCTGCATTCTTCTGCTCGGGACCGCACTCCAATGAGTGTGGTCCCTGCAGGTAAATAAATCCCCTCTTGAAAATTCCAACTAGTCTCTGGTCTCATTCGTAAAACTGCACCATACAACATTTGGAGGCCCCAGCGAGATCTTGAGACTACCGGTCTTGCCTCCCCCCGACACCAGGGACGGGCCCATAGGCATCTTATGCCTCTACCCCGGTTCGGTGGGACATCTGACTAGCCGAGAGAGGAGTAATCAGTCAGTGCGCACAGCGGTTACCCGCCATCTGTTCTGAATATCTGCAGATCTGGTATTGGAAAGAAAAGCCTGCTGGATGCAGCACGGGCCACTTTCCGGTCTGGGACGAGACGTCACCCCCGGCCTCAGATCCTGTTTAAGTTGTGCGTTTGTCTAGATTGTCTGTTTTGTCATCTGTCTTGTCTGTTTTGTCGTCTGTCTTGTTGGACTGACACTTGGAATTCTCAGTATGGTTTATGTCCTGTTCTATTGTTGCTGTCTGTGTTTTCTGTCTTGTCTGTTTGTATTGTAAAGTGTTCCCCTTTCTGGGAGGTAAGCATAGGCCAGACTGGGTTTTGGGGTTCTTCAGGAAATAGAAGCTCCCCACACAGCCGCACCAATCTGTCCTCTTCAGGGCATGGTTGAAAGCAAGGGTGTGGGTGGGTGTTCTTGCCCCTGAGATGAGAATGTGTGAACCTGGCTTTGATTGAGAAAGATTCATGAGGTCATTTGCCTCAGCCAAAGCATGGCTGAGTCCGAATGGGAAAAAGGTGATGATCAGGGCATGTATGTGTGGGATTTTTTCCTTCCCCCATTCCTTGTATATGAGCCAGAACTGGGAAGTAAGGAAATGTGTGGCCCTTGAATTGGGCTTGCAAACACAGGTCCTACCCAGTTTTCTGGACATGCTTAATAAGCTTATCCTGTGTGAAAGCCCTGTATGAAAGAGGGGTTATATAGAAACATTTTTATGAAGGTCCTTTCCTTGTCAGAAACTGGGTTTTAATGTCTTTAATGTAAGTTTTCTGCCTCTTCCATCTGCCTTACAGCTCTCCTAGGTAGGAAGATTCCTTTTTTGTGAGATTAAATAATTGTGTTTGAAATTCCAGGAGGGGATGCTGATGGGCAGAGGAAAGATGGAAAAAAA